AAGTATACCGTGAAACTCCACTGACAAAATGAGCCCGCACAAGTGGGAGAAAATTTGCGCATTCTGACCATCGTGGTGTCTTCTTATTACTATTAAAGTTAACCAGCATGGCAGGCTTTCTGGGTTTGGAGGAGGGTTTGGGGAGTTAAAGTTTACCAGGCTAGCCACATGTACGCATTGCGTACCTATTTTTCATTAATTTCATTGCATAAAAGGTACGAAATTTAAATTTTAACGCCGATTTGCCGATAAATCGGTGATCACTACAGAAAAACAGAACAAACTAGAGGGCACTCAGAGACTGCATACCTCCGCCCGCTACTCGGAAGTGAAACGCAACCTTGGAATTTCCTAAGAAATCCACTTTGCAATTCTTAAGCATAAAAATTTTAGGCCACCGCGAATTGAAATCGAATTGCTAATAGATCATATTACTGTTGTTGTACTATACTTGTAAAATAAAAACTTATTAAGTGTCATTAAATAAATCATAAATTTTGCTTTATGCACTCGCGTGTGCAGTAATTTTGACAGTTGTGCAATTTTAAATTCCCAGGCAGTTAAAATCTTTTGTCCTTAAAACAATGTCGATTTCTTGGGAAATTCCGAGGTTGCGTTTTTTTATACACCCTGTATTGAAGTAATCTAATGTTATTAGAATTTGAATGGACTGGCACTTTGCTGAATGCAATAATGCGTAACTCCGTAAGCCTTGTTTTAGACATTGAATTTCGGTCGCGTGAAATGCAACTAAGACAATAGATAATGAAGGCTGAAGCTTAATGAGGTTTATCATCTCATTATTGTCTTAGTACTGCGTGCATAAATTATACACGTCCTAATTACGCATTCGGGTTTTTTTTTAATTGCCCGGGAAAAGCAAGACAATATTTTGTTCATTTCTCGTTCAATTTTTAACCAAATTCAACCAAAATTTAATCAGTTCTTCCTTAGCCGAAGGGAAATGCATTCAAAAAATTTCGTATGAATATGTTTGGTATTTCTTGAGTTATCGTGCTCACAAACAAACACACATACATACACACATACACCAACACACACACATACATACAAACCCAGATGATTACATAACCTCCTGGCGGAGGTAATGAAAATTATAATCAAATGAGCTACGATTACGATGCGAATAGGATTTTGAATGATTGAATTTAATTAAACCCCACCGTTGAATAGTACAAAAACTATTGCACGGAGCGTGCAAAATGGGAATTTTAATTCCATATCACGTGATAATAATCAGCCAATAAAATGGCCAGAATTTAATAAGGTGTTATAAAATTTATAATATTTAAAATATATCGGCCATTGGCATTGCAAGATTGGGCCGCCTTGTGAATAGTTTAGACAAACTATTCGTCCAGGTGGCCGATTATAAACCGATCATGCCACAATCGAAATTTACCGATTGTTCCAAGTCACAATCGGCCCGATTCCGATCCAGATGTTTTAAAAATACTAAAGTATTAATGGCTCATTTTAAATCATTTAAGATCGTTACAGAGGTGACTTTAGCCTTTAGGTCATTGTAGATAATTTTAGGTCATTTTAGAAGTGGTTTGGGATCGTTTCAGCCTTCTAAGTACATGATACAGTAAATGATGCTCTTCCAACGAGTGGGAATTCCTAAGACAAATTGTCACAAAAGGAACACTCTCTGTAGTTGTCATACAGGGTGTCTCAAAAAAACCCAAAATCATTGAAATTGACGTATTGTTCGATATTCAATGCCCTAGCACTAAGTTAATCCCACGAGTGCATAAAAGATTGACATAACTGCTATAATGAATGGTAATACTCAGCGTAAACTTGTTATGTCAGGCATAAAGTACTAAACCCACGAATGCATATTACGCATATTACAATTTACGAAGCATTTTTAAATTCCCATGAGCAAACAAACATTCACTTTACAAAGATATTTTAATTTTTTAAAACAAATTAATCACCCTGTCAAAATCCTTTGTGTTACGGCATTGAAATTCGAACAATACGTTATTTCAATGATTTTGGGTTTTTTTGAGACACCCTGTACAGTATACAGGGTGTCCCAAAAAAAAGTGACACTATAGAAATTATCTCATTGTTCTTAAGCCGCTCTTAAACGCGCGTGATTACACGCCTGGGAATTTAATGAACTTGTATTTACATTTAAGCATTTTAAAACGTTTTCGCTTTGTCCAAATATTTTAACGCCCGAGTCAAGCAAAACGATTACACTAATAAACGGCTTGCTTTTTTATTTTAAATTCCAGAAGCAGAAGTTTATGCACCTGTGGGATCAACTTAGTGCTAGGGCATTCAAATTATAACAATGAGATAATTTCTATAGTGTCACTTTTTTTTGGGACACCCTGTATAGTATGCATATTCGGATCAGTGTGAAGCTGACGACATGCAATTTAAGTTCCACAAGCCCAAAGGCACTTTACTATTTTTAGCGACGATTTGCAATTAATGCAAACTCGAAAATAACGTATTGCATTGGAAATCATCGTCAAAGCGTGTTCACGGGGGGTCAAATCATCGTGAAAGGGGGCCAAATTTCCTGGGACACTGGTGCACACTATTAAGAAGAATACATTTAATGCATATCAAGTACTTACGCTAGAAATTGAATATATTGGAACCATCCACAGGATCCTAAATCAAGAAAGAGGAAAGAAAGTCTAACTTTAATACTGGATTAATTACAAGTTAATGAATATCTTTATTTTAATTTAGCGCATGGTTTTGGCTGTGAGTTATTTTCTCATGTTGATAATCGTATTTTTGATATACGTATTGGAACACTAATATTGGAACAATGTGCTTGCCATGATACTTTCACCAACATGTATGCATGTTTAACCCATTAGGCACGTCTGGCATTAAAGCGCAAGACTCTCCCCTTTACAAGTAAAATCGTTTGGCGTTAGACAGAGTAAGATGTGAGCGCATTGCAGCTTAATGGGTTAATATTTTTCAGCCGAGCAGACCAATATTTGCCGATGCTGTAAACAAAGGCAAAGAATTGATCTGAGAGTCACTGTGGAGAATTCAGAATATTACAAACTAAAAACCGCAGTTAAATTTAGAATAACTCACATTATTATATACACAAGGTCTGGATATGAGGTATTCTGCAATCTGATTGGTTCTCTACTAGCAGGATATTAGCTCATATCCTGCTAGTAGAGAAAAACAAAATGGCGGCCAAACCGAATTTACGATGTTTTGCAAATGAGAAAACGGCAAGTTGTCGCTTTTTAAAACGTTTACAGGATTAAAAACACAATGAAAAAACTCCCACAGATTGTTTTCAGGTTAGCAAATAAATTTTTAAAATTTAAAATGGTTAAAAATATATAGTTTTGAAAAAATAATCGGCCGAAAGAGCGAAGATAAAAACATAAACAAAATAGAAAAATATTGAAAATACTCGAAAAGCAAAGTCTGTGAATTCAGACCTTGTGTATATAATAAAACAGTTATTCCACTCACTCTCGTCGAATATGAGCGATAGCCGATGAGGCGCGTAGCGCCTCATCGGCTATCAGCTTATATTCGACTCGAGTTCGTAGAATAACTGTTAATTATCATACATGATAATTCCAGAGCCACGAGCAGAGCGAAGCCCGTGGCAAGGGTACTAATTCTGCTCGGCTATTTACACCCGGGAAAAGAAAAGCATTGCAAAGATCTCGATCGCTACGAACTCATGTGAAAAGAGTCAGTCAACGCTCTGCCGAAAGTCGTGGACGTGGGTTTTCTCCGAGTGTTCTGCTTTCCTCCCACCAGGAAAGTTGACAGGGTGGGTTAGGATAAACACAGATAAGAAAGTAATATCACAATTATTGTAAAGATAAAATAGTCTAGGCTAAGTATATGTAATGGACCATTTGCATTATAGACTAAATTTTGATCTAGCCAAAAAGTTTGCCGTTTTTCAGTCATTTTGTATTACACACGGGAAATTGACAACCCAATCGGGTGTTGGGGCATCAATTTCCCGTTTGTAATACAAAATGACTGAAAATTGCAAATTTCGCAAGGCTATATTATCCGCATTTTACAACATTTCGCAACGAAACTTTGGAATATTACTAATTTTGTGATGCTCTTTCAAGCTGTGATGAAATTTTTGGCTAGATCAAAATTTAGTCTATAATGCAAAAGCGTATAATTCTGGATGTAAAGCGGTTTGATCCACATGTAAGTTTGCGCTATACAAATGCTAATCGTAATCATAATTAATTTGTTTTAATCTTTTTATAAAAGGCTCAAAAAAAAGAACAAATTATTTTCATGAACGACCTGTATGATTTCAATTTATTTAATTTCAAAGTACGAGTAACAAGTTGATGAGTTTTATCGGCAAAAAGCAGTTAATTTCAATGAACATTTAAAAATGTTTTACGAACCGTTTCGTGTTGAATTTTACATTAAAATACGGTAAAGCCCATTGTACAAAAAAATTTAAAACACGTTTTGTACGAAAAATTAAAACAATGATCATGTTGCCATGGCTAACATGACGTGAGCCTGCATTCAGTGTTGGCGTAATTAAGAATGTTTCATTGATGTTGAAAATGTGGGCCAGGGGTTGTTGCATGCATGTAATTTTAGTTGAGTTGTTATTAATTGTACAAGAGACTAGAGACATAGTTATTTTGTATTTTTTTTTTGCAAATCATCTTTCTTATATAACAAGTGACGGTTTGCATATCAGGGACAACTTTGTTATATCGGTACACTGACAAACTAAAATATTATGCGATAACTGAGTTCAAGTAATTGTGTTATCATTCACTTCATGAAAAACATAAGCAGAGTTATAAATATAAAACAATTGTTGTTGTCCACATAAAATTTTCGTTGCTCAGCTGTGAAACGTTTCGCAACCAATCACTTCTCAACGAGCAAAAGAAGTTTTCTACAACAGTTCACCTTCATTTGTACACGTTTTTAACTCGAGTAAACACAACTTAGCTGTTCACCAGTTGGGGCGAGGGGATTAGGGCGAGGGGATTAGGGCGAGGGGATTAGGGCGAGGGGATGAGGGTGAGGGGATGAGGGTGAGGGGATTAGGGTCAGGGGATTAGGGCGAGGGGATTAGGGTCAGGGGAATAGGGTCAGGGGATTACGGTCAGGGGATTACGGTCAGGGTGTGGGTCTTGCACAGGAAAACAGTTTGGGCGTGGGGATTAGGGCGAGTGGATTAGGGCGAGTGGATTAGGGCAAGTGGATTAGGGCGAGTGGGTTAGGGCGAGTGGATTAGGGCGAGTGGATTAGGGCGAGGGGATTAGGGCAAGGGGATTAGGGCGAGGGGATTAGGGCGAGGGGATTAGGGCGAAGGATTAGGGTCAGGGGGTCACGGTCAGGGGGTCACGGTCAGGGGATTACGGTCAGGGTGTGGGTCTTGCACAGGAAAACAAAACAAAAAAGGGTGCATGTATCAAGGCCAGATCTTGGTGGAAATAATGGGGGAGGTAGAAAAAATTTAGGGGAGGTGCAGCAGTCTAGCTCACAACCCCCATGGAAAGTTAGGGCTTAGAACAGGCCACAAACTCAATGACGTTACATATGCATTAGAGGTGTGCATCGGATCAGATTGGACGTTTATAATCTGACAATTGGCTAATGTTTAAAATCCAATCCGATCCAAAATTGTCTAATCCAAATCCGATACGAGTTTTGAAAAAGAATTCCGATCCGATCCGAAGAACCTTTAATAAAATAAATTTCTCATTCAAGTGGAAATATTTAACCAAATAATAATTATTATATTTAATTAATTCATTTTATTTCGAATATTGAAGCCCGATCCGACTACGAAACAACTTTATCAATCCGATCCAATCTGAAATGGATATTATTGTTCCGAAATCCGAACAAATCCAATCGGATTTGCACACCTCTAGTATGCATGTTGTGTACATATACACAGCCAGAAATCTCACAGGTCTGTCGCAAGCTGTTGATTTTACCGGCTTGCGGCAAGTTGTCAACAAGTCGCGACAGGTCTGTTGGTTTCGTCAGGCGGTAACAGGCTTGCGGGAACAGGTCTGTCGCAAGCTGTTGACAACAGAGCCGTAGCGACTTGTTGAAACAACCCGCTACAAACCTGTTACTAACAAGAGATAACAGGTCTGATAGAACAACTTGCAGCAAGTCTGTTGAAATCAACAGGTCTGTTCCAACTTGTTCCAACAGACCTGTCACGAGTTGTTTTTGTCAAGTCTGCAGCAAGCTTGTTATCAGACCTGCGACAAACCTGTCCACAACAAACAATTTTTGTCCTGTCACAACAAGTTTCAACAAGCCTGTTGTTGGGAAACAAATCGAAAATGTGAGTAAAGAGAAAAATCGCACTAAATGGGCACGTCCGGCTTCACTTTCTCATTCAATCATTGTCATTGGTGGCAATATTAAATCACATAGGAGAGACTAATAATAATCTATAGTATCTATTCTCTGATTAAATGCAAAAGCCGCTGTTTTATTTATTTTTAAAAAATAATTCCGATTTCCAAAATCCAAATTCCAATTTGCTGACGTGTGCTATCGCTATATTTCTTTAATATGATTGGATAAAGGTGTGTGCACACGTCATCATTCCTCGTTGCAATTCGACGAAATATTACAAACATATCAATCACGCAATCATGTTTAGTTGTTTTTGAATTTTGAGCCAAACAAAATTTCAACAACTGCCTCAAACAAAATCAAACAAGTTCAAAGCTGTTTTGATTTTTGAAGAAATTGTGGCAATGAGAATACAAGATCTAGAGCTTAAGAAATGAAAAATACATGAGCAACCGAGTGTTCACTGCAACGTTCTTCACTGTTGATATGAATATGAAATTCGTTATATAATTTCTTTCCAATTTCAAGTGAAATCTGCGAGCGAGGAAGACGCCTTATTGAAGCTTTGTGTTATTGTATGTACTATTTTGAAGAAAAATATGCAAGTAGGTTGTCATATTTCGGGCGTACTTAAAGACCAATTAATTTTGAAAATTGTTTACGATAAGAACCGTTCTTGAATTTGTCGTATTTTTTCGGCTGTTGTGGCTTTTGCTCAAAAATTATCTCGCAAGTTTGTTTATAAGTGTTCATATGAAAGTCTGGCTATTTCACGAAACACTACAACCGAAATATGGCAACCTGTTTGGCTGTTTTTTGTTCAAAATTGTGTATACACAAGCTTCATAAGGCGCTTTCCTCGGTTTGCAACAGGTCTGTCGCAAGTTGTTGAAAACAGCATTGCTGCAGCTCTGTGTCAACAACTTGCGACAGGCCTGTTGAAACCCTTCATTACAATTACTAAACCCTACATTATCAATTTTTGCCCTTCATTACAATTACTACAAAGTTTCTTTCAAAACATTGCATTAAAATGGTACTAGACACAGAGATGAATGGCTATCACTGTTTCAATTTTACAGAAAAACTTTTTTACGAAGTGTAGACCCTTATTAACCCATTGAGTCGCATTGCACCCTGATGCACCCTACTTTAGTATTTTACTCTGTCTAACGCCAGACGATTTTACTCGTCAAGGGTAGAGCCACTGAGCTATACTTAATATATCTGGAGATCGTGCTCCAATACCTCGTCAGTCAAAAATGTGTGGCCAAAAACATGGCGGATTTTGGTCAAATTTACGTCATTTTGACGTCACAATCGACCTAAATTTATGGTGAACACCACTGACCTAAAATACGAACGTGAAGAAAAAAGTTATTCACCCCCCCCTTTCAATTTGCTTAAAACAGAAGGAAGTAAAATAGTAAATTCAAAATTTCGGTCGGAAATTTCTATATTGAAACGAGACATTTGCAACCATGCCAACTTTTTGTTCAATTCCTGGTTGCCAAAAATCTACTGAAAGAAAGGACCTGTCCTCACATGCGTAAGGCTCGTATAATCTCTTTTTTTGTAATAATTTAACGCATGCTGTATTGCTGTATTGAATGCGTAAATTTGTGAATTCATGAAATTTATTGGCAAGCAACATACAATACAATTTATGTTAGTGTACTACAGTGCAAAAGCAGAACAAAATTTTAAAATGTTGACAAGCTTGTGGAGCTGTTGTCGAGCAAGTATTTATTTTCATGCAAGTTGATGGATAATGATAATAATAAATAATAATAATAATAATTTATTCATTTAAATAAAGCGCATAGGTTATATTATATACTCGAAGCGCTGTACATTATAAAAATCTAAATATATTAAGAATTAAATATGCTATATAAAACATGGTATTGTATACAATTAGAATATACATTAATGTATGTATCTATAATAAGAATGATAGAATCCAATATGGTCTCAACCTATAAAGGGTTATAAGCCTTATTGAAAAGAAATGTTTTCAAGCGTTTCTTAAACACAGAAATGTTTTCACAGTTCCTGACATCCAAAGGCAGAGAATTCCATAATTGTGGAGCAGCATGTGCGAAAGCCCGATCTCCGAGAGTCTTACAGTTTGTTTTGGGGATGTATAGTAGACCTTGACCATCCGATCGTAATGTCCATCGATCACTTGATTGTTTTGGAATAAGCATTTCAGAGATATAGATAGGGGCAATGTTATTAAGAGCCTTGTAAACCAGTAAGGCAATTTTGAATTCCACCCGGAATTTTACCGGTAGCCAGTGAAGTGATCTCAAAACTGGGGTGATGTGAGAAAATCTTGGACAGTGGTAGATTAGTCTAGCAGCGGCATTAAGAACTCTCTGCATGTGATGCAGTGATGAAATCCTATCGATATCCTAACAGATAATGCTATATGTGATAAAGATACGACTAGCTTTAAATGTACAAAGCCTTTCACTCATTGTATTGTCTTTATTGTGGACTAAACCATGTGTTGTCTAGTGTGGCATTGTTTATATTGTAATTAGTTATAGGTATCGTATTGGACAGTGTATTAACTAGACACTAAAAACAATTGTTCATTTACTTCAAAGCTTTCCAGATGAGAAGAGATTCCCTGAATTGCACAGCATATGGGTGAAGAATATAAGCAAACTTATGCCAGTGAAGTTTGTTCCTATGAAAAATAGTCGTTTGTGTTCAAAGCATTTTAGTGCTGATATCTTTGAGGAGGATTACAGCCAGAGACCAGTGTTAAAGCCATATGCTGTACCAACAATCTTTAATGATTGCTTTGGTCAGCTTGGTTGTGATCTTTACAGTTTATTATCAGTACAATTAATGGTCATACTGTACATGAGGGGTAATTAACCCATTAAGCGCCAGCGCTCTCCCCTTGACGAGTAAAACTGTCTGGCGTTAGACAGAGTAAAATACTAAAATAGGGTGCTTCGCCACTCAATGGGTTAAATTTATTCCTTAATTTTTCTGCTAACAACTTTAAGTTATTTGTACACATTTTGGTCTGTTTAGCTAAGCCAAGATTGCTACATTTACATTTATTTTGACCATTTGTGTTAGTGTACAAATTAGGCTAGCATAATTACTGTAGGTGCTGACCATCAAGTAGGGATTGACATGCATAGAATTGGTTGAGCAGTTTATTTAATTAAATTGGTGTTGTATGTGTTTATTAAAAATAAAGAATAAATTTTGTTGTGATTTGAAATTGAATATATTATTTATTCTTATTACTAAATGTAATTAATTTAATTTAATTTATTAGCTTTGCCTTGTAGATAACTATATTACAATTAATGGCAGGGAGTCCGTAACAGCACTTAGCCAATTACTACGGCCCCGTAAAACTAACATTAAAACTAATATTACAAATTTAACAAATACAATAATCAACTAACAACAAACAGCATATGAAAATAACAACAATACGTCTTTCACATGCAGCACGAGATTGGAATACTAAGACTACGAACAGAGTTACACTTTGGACAAATGGTTTTGTACGAACGAGGGTCGTTGACATTGTAACAAGTTCTTAATGACATAGAGTAATAATTAAAAATGACAGTTTTAAATGTAGAGAAACCACATGTGTCCAGTTTTAGTTGATCGGCGAGGAGGTTCCAGATCCGAGTTGATCGGATAAAGAAGGATCGTTGATAGGTGGATGTCTTGCATTTCGGAATGACATATTTGGTGGAAGTACTGGTGGAAGATCTAGTTTGTCTGGAGGTGCGGATTGTTGGAAGGAGAGATTCATTTATGTCTACAAGTCCGTGGGTAATCTTGTAAAAGAGAACCATGTCAAGGTACTCATGCCAATAACAGATTGGTAGGAGCGATAGAGCCTGGAGCCTGGTGGTATAGTCCATGGTACTGGAAAATGGTAACTCGAGGATGAATCTAGTTGCTCTTCTCTGTGTGCGCTCGACTTGTTTCAACAGTTCAACTGACTGTGGAGCCCATATTTGTGTTGCATACCCTAGGTGTGGTCTTACAAGGGCCAGATACAGCGTGCGCCGGACTGAGGTGTTGTGGATAT